GGGAGTTCGAATCAGAGGGAAATGAAGTGGTTTGAAGTTGAAAGGGTGGGTCTTTTATAGCTTATGATGGGGCCAGTATATTTAAAAGCTCTTATATTGGGCTGTACTTTATGGCCAACCATTTGGCTGAGAGGGATATCCCACTCACTTAGGTTTGTGCTTAGAGCAGGAGCAGTGGAAGGCTCTTCTCTCTTCTTCGCCGTGACCTCTGTCTCAGCAGGGGTACGGGTGGTAGCTCCTCTCTGTGCTTGTGTCTGCGCGGCTGCGAAAGAGTCTGCCATTAATTTCGGAACTGAGGGGGTGTTTGTCTGAGTAGTTGCTTCCATTGGAGCTTTGCCTTTACGTTGGTCCCTAACCAATGGTTCAGGAGCAGGCCCAATTTTGGCTGTCAAAGGTTAAACAAGTTAGTGTTGTAGAGAAAAAAACAAAACAAATTGCATGACACAGTCAGGGATATGAAGTATATGAAGGAAGGATACCTGTAGCCTTAAGCTTGGAAGGCGAGGATATGCGGCCCTGAATATGAATACAAGTATCGTTAAGGCAGCTTTCAAGTGGCTTGCAGAAAATAATGGCAGACATAAGTCCCCACCAATGATCAAAAGCAGCCGAGCAGTCCGAAGTAGGTTTAAAGAAGAAGGGGCCAAAATCTTGGAAAAGTTAGGTGTTCTCTGTCAGAATGGATTCAGCTTGTGTAGGATCTTTGAAGTGGATTCTGGACCCAATCTCCTCATGGATGGTTGGGTGGAAATAAGGATAAGGGATAGCCTGGGAAAGACCAAATTGCCTGGACAATTGATTGGGACAGTATGTCTCAAAACTGCAGCTGGATAGCTTGGCGGAGGATATGGAACAGCCAACCATGACATGTCTAGAGGTGAGAATGTGTCTCCACTCTCATTTTGTTCTTGGACTTGCTCATTGTGTAAATCAGAAGGGTCTGTGAAGAGGAAGCGAAGTCTACTGGAGGAGAATTCAAAGTTTTGAAATGGCATGTACAGGTTGGACGGTCTCTGCGAAGGAAGGTTGTAAAACCTGGTAAGATGATTTCTGAAAGTGAAGATGGGTTGGCTGGTATAAGTGAGCAGTTGCTCAGCATAGGAGTAGCAAACAGGTTTCAAGGTGTTAGGTGGTGGGGGTTGTGCCTCAGGGAAATAGGCATACAACCAGGCTTGGAAGAGCCAGAAGGGGCCACCACAGTTGCCAGAAATCTTCTTGTCGACAAAGGAAAATAGGGCCTTGTAAAGGGTGGCAAGAAGATAAGGGGCTAAAGCCATAAGTTGGCCATCTTGCATACACAAGGCAAGGGGGAGGTATTCTTTCGTGATCTTGTACCCAGGGACACAAAAAAGAAACTCACAAAGCCAAAATAAGTAAAAAGTAGTTCTTTCTTTGTCATCGACAGGGGAACCAGGCTTGCCTTGGTATTTTTTGGCAAAATCTGTATAGCACATGTCAGTGTTTAAAGTAAATATCACTTTTGGAGGCTCAAGAAGAGCATGAATTGGATTGCCCAAGATTGGGAGACCAGTCAAGTGAGCTACATCTAAGATGGTAGGGGAAATCATACCAAAATTGAGGAGTAGGGAGTTACTAGACTGCGACCAAAAGCATGCAGCAGCAGCAATCAGCCCTTTGTCCACGTCATAAATTTTAGTCGACAGTCTAATTGCTTCACCAATGCCCTGGTGCTTCCATACTTCAGCGTCGTGACCTTCAATTCTCCTAGCCCAGCTTCGCCAATCAGAGTCTGGTGACCTCCACTCTCTAAGTGGGTTTTTGCTGACATTCCAGTTAGTCCACTTGAGTCCAGCTTGGTTGAGAAGAAGGTTCTCACCATTACCAAGGGGATAGTATGGAGCTAGCTCGTCTGGGAAGTAAGACGCGAAGGTAGGGCCTAGAGTAGCCTTAGCGACAGAGCTTGTGCTGGGCAATAGGGTTGCAGCAAATTTTAGAGGAGCGATACGTGCTCTGATAGGGTCTGGGAAGCGGAGTAGGTCTTCATTGTTCTCCTCAAATGGAGATGGTTGAGATTTTTTCGGCGCCATGGCTTAGGGTTTTGTGGTGCTCTGGTTTTGAACGACAATGGTTGAGAAGAAGGAGTACAGTCTGGGGAGTTCGAATTAGAGGGAAATGAAGTGGTTTGAAGTTGAAAGGGTGGGTCTTTTATAGCTTATGATGGGGCCAGTATATTTAAAAGCTCTTATATTGGGCTGTACTTTATGTTTATTTTGGGCCCGTATTAAGAAATTTGCTATTGGGCCCAAACAATGGCCCCCTCGTTGAAGTTAAATATCATATGACTTGGACCCCCACAAGGGAGGGCCCCCATGACCCCCTCTCTCTCTGATTGGCCACTTTTTTTTTATTTTTTTTCAATTTCTTATTTTTTTTCCTTCTCCAATCAGCAACCCCCACGTGTGTGTGTGGGGGGGGACAGGTGGTGATTGGAGGGGGTCGCAATCACTTCCGCAATATTTAACTTGAACATGGGGGCCATTGTTTGCACCAAGTTTTGCCAGTCTCTGTCGACAGATGGTCCACTTAATCGAGGGCATGTGGCCAAGTCTGAAGGAATGTCCACGACCTGAAAGTGGGCTCTCTGCATGTGGGTCACCTAGAAGTGATAGGGGAAGTTTTTACAACCAGTCATGGAGTTAGTGGGCACACTTTCAGGAGGAAGCATGAGACAACGCAGGAGCCTTGCTCTGTCGACAAAAGTTTAAAACAGTTGGTGGCCATGAAATAAACACAAGAAAATGGAGCTCGACAGATAGAAGTGGAGGTTTAGTATTGATATCCGTATACTGTTTTTGTGGCCCATCATTGCATGATCCCACACGTCTACACCATAACTGCCACTGTAACTACCCCCTGACTTCGAATCTTCAAGTCCTCTGAAAACCAATATTGACTCTTCCCCGTCGACCTTCCTTTTCACCATTGTGGGGCATGTCCCTCATCATTATGAGTTACTGGACATACTTTCAGGAGGAAGCATGAGACAAAGCAGGAGCCTTGCTCTGTCGACAGAAGTTTCAAACAGTTGGTGGCCATGAAATAAACACAAGAAAAGGGAGATCGACAGATAGAAGTGGAGGTTTAGTATACTTGAAATGCCTAGAACGGAGATCGTTGGTTTCGATATCCGTATACTGTTTTTGTGGCCCATCATTGCATGATCCCACACGTCTACACCATAACTGCGACTGTAACTGCCCCCTGACTTCGAATCTTCAAGTCCACTCTGCCAAATATTGACTCTTCCCTGTCGACCTTCCTTTTCACCATTGTGGGGCATGTCCCTCATCATTATGAGACAAAGATCGACAGAATATTGTCCACTAAACACAACCACAATCCTTGCAAACTGGGCTAATGAACCGCAACACTTGGCCACTCACTGTTACTGCCCCTGACTATGAATCATCAAACTCTGCCAAATATTGAATTTTCCCTGTAATTTAATCAAAATATATTCAATGTCGGTAAACTTGAAAATATGTTTGAAATAACCTTTTTCTGTATTGTAATGACTTAAACACAATTGTTGTCCTACATTTTACGTAACGAAAATACACAACTTATTTATATCAAAAACAAAATATACATCTCGGGTTTATAATCAAAAAAATGGGAACTACTTTTTTTTTAAAAAAAGTTCACTCATATTTTCAGCTACATTCTGATTGGATATTAGATTAAAAATTCCTCTTTGCAACTATTTTTCCCACATCCTCCCAACAGCTGCTCCATTCAACTAACATTGAATCTTGCATGCCACCTGACTTACACGCTGGAGCAGTTACTGGCAGTGCTCATGGATTTAGTGGCCACCCTCCAAGAGGAAACATGAACGAATTGGGAGTTTGTATCTGTCGAGGAAAGGCTAAAAGGACCTGGGCACAGGTGGCAACTTCAATTATATGCACTTTGACAGGTACAAGTGAAGCTTTTATGTGGTTTCAATACACGGAAATCACCGTGCAGTTACAGAAGTTGCACAGAAGCAGTTGCAGAATTAGCAGATCATGGGGTCGTGGGAATTTTATAGCTATAAAGGGCAGAATGTTTGTAGAGAGAGAGGACATGAACAACAACACAACTTACTTTCTACATTGTAACTTCTGTGTAGTTTTTTCCCTTCTACTTTCTACTTTGTTACAAACAACACAACAACACAACAACTTACTTTCTACTTTTTACTTTCTACATTGTTACCATCAGTTCATCGAAAGAAGTCTTCATCCATTTCAGGCATTTGAACCAATACCACAATTGCTTGATTTTCTTCTTGAACTTGTCAACTTTAAATTACTGCTTCGTTGCTGTCGATATAGGCCCACCATAACTTTACTAACAATAAACCCATATTTCCATAGTAAACATTAAATAATTTCACAACTCCTGTTCGTAACTCGTAATTCATATACCAATCGGCATGGAGATAAAGTAACGAGTTCGTTGTGTTACTTTCTCCAAGTAACACCCAAAATTAACTGTCACTTGGATTATATACAAAATGCATGTGCCGGTATGTAATTTTGCAAACCCACTTGGACAAAATTTGTATTTTACTCGAAATATAATACTAATTTACCGACACAAGTCATAACAAATCAATACGAAGCGAAACACATCGTTAGTTGATAAACCACACCGCAAAAAACCCTTCAGTTAGATCCAACCAAATATGGAACAGAAACAAGCAACCCGCAATAAGAATCTTGGAATACAGACATAAGCCAATTTCCCACCCAAAACAATACACAAACAACCCATATATATCTCACCTCACCTTCAATTAGTTTTGAAAATGACAAGTCACTGCAAACACAAATGACAACATCACTCTAAACAATATGGGAAAATTACAACTCGTGGTCTTGTACATAAGTAACGTTGTGCCATTTCCTGGCATTGTACATAACCAATTATTTACACATTACGTACAGCAATCCGTGCAAAATGAAAACTACATACATTATTTCCATGTGTTTTCAATAGCTAGTACTGTCTACCTAATAAATTAAGGGAATAAGTAAATCATACAAATTATACAATTACCTGATTCACCTCATCAATTGTGTTCGAATCATTTTTCCACATTACTGCTTCAACACTACCGTATTGGCCCACAGGCTGCTCAGAATCAGGAGAAACATTGAAAAATAGTCGCCGTTGCTTAATGTGCGGTGTACTTAGATCCACCAACCCAGTTTTGCAGCGAACGGGCAATGACTCCGCATTGTACTCACAGTCAGTTATGTGGGGTGTATCTGCATCTGAGTTAGTACCCACTGTTCGGCTAAACCGAACCTTAGGACACGTTCGCTTTGTGTGCCCAATGCATTTGCAATTCCCACATTTTCTTGGTCTTCGACAGTTGGACGAGGCCCGTCCTGGGTTCCCTTTTGTCTTCATAACATTAGGATCTTCTACTCCAAATTGTCGATGGAATGAATGTTTCCCTTTGTCTCCATTCCCGTCGTTCAAATTCCTCTCATATAACTTCTTCATCCGGCTCGTCATCGGAAGACATGCATCCCTAGCATCTTTGAAACCTTCCGTTGATTGCGAGGCATGGAAACACATTTCGTTGTAGGAAGAACACAATATCCCATACCGGGCCGTCTGTGTTGTAGTGCTATCAATTGAGGGTTGAGGCCATTGCTGGCCATCCTTGCTTGCAGCCCTTGTCCATCTATGCAGCACACAAGTTGGGGGAATTTGCGTTAAATTTTCAGCTTTCATAACACATATCATGTGGCAGCAAGGTAGCCCCAACGACTCAAACTTCATGCAAGAACATCTCATTGCAGCATCCATTGGACTGTGTGTTACTATACATAATCTGTCCTTCACTTTGTACTTATGAATATAGTAGCATTTCTGACCATCCGGCAAAGGGAACACGTCCCTGACATTCAACTTCCTCTCTTCTAAGATTTCATCACGGAACATTCTAAATATATTTCAGGTGAATAGCTCAGCTCCATGTCTCTCTATATCTCGCAATGGAGTAATCAATACCGGAAAAGTGTTATTTGTTTCAGCATCATCTCCAGCCTCGTTATACCTTATCCTTGCAAGAGCCCGATCATAGTGCCTAACAAATTCATATAGCTTCAATTTGTGTTGGAGGAAGGGATTGAAATAAGCATTCATACACTCCGAGCGTTGAGTGCTCTTCATCCCAGCAAAGAAATGTCCACGCATATATGCCTCAGCCCACATATGACGTTTCTCATATGTCTCTAATACCCAACTGTTGGTTTGAAGTCCAAATTTTTCGACCATTGTCGTCCAGTCATGCTCAAACTTTGTCTCATCCGTTTCCATGTCCATGCACTGCTTGAAAGCATGTGCAAAGCCACTTATGTGAACATTTGAAACAGCATTTTTCCCAAGATGCGAATTACATAATCGATGTCTTGCATCTGGAAATACTCTTCTGATTGCCTCTTGCATCGCCTTATCCCCATCTGTCAGTACGGACACAGGTGCTTTATTGCCCATCGCCTCCATAAATGTTTCCAAAACCCATGTGTATGTCTCAATTGTCTCATTAGCTAGCAAAACACATGCAAATATCGTGGTCCTAAAGTGGCTAGTCACACCAGCCAACATGACAAAAGGTTTCTTGTATGCATTGGTTCTGTAAGTTGAGTCAAATATCAACACATCACCAAACTTTGCGTAGTCGGCCCGCGATTTCGAATCTGCCCAGAACAGATTTTGTAACTTGTTATCGTTACACACATCATACTTGTAAAAAAAAACGTGCATCAACATCAAGTTTTGCGCATAGGTAAACCAACGCACCCTGCGCATCACCATCCTCAACTTCTGCTCTACGTTCGGCTTGAATATGGTTGTGCAGATCCGTACGGATGAAACCAACATTCTCATAAGACCCGGACTGATTTACCATATAGTTCATGATTTGGCTAGTCTTCACACCGACATTGCGTATAGCCATTGCTTGAGCTTTGTCAGCACTGTTTAAACTGCGATGTGACCTCAGATACATCACACAGTGTTGTTCCGCCAATTCATGGTTGTGGTCTGCGACGAAGTGAGTCACAACATACTTTCCCCCTTCACCATCATCCGCATCGTACCGTATGCGAAATTGGGCTTTGCAACCTACTCTTGTTAGTGCCTTGGGAGCTCTACTCTTCTCAGCAACACGGTCCATTGATAGGTGGGTGTTCCATTTAATAATATCTTTTAATATAATTTTACTTTAGGGTATAATTGTAATTAAAAAAAATTATAAAATGGGGGGTCCAAAGAATTTTGGCAGGTGCTAATAGCAGCACTCTTTAAATATTCCATTAGGTCCTAATCGATATAATAAGACCAAATAGTCCCAAGCACTCACATACATATTTCCATTCCTGAAATCAAACCCTATCAAAACACTCCACTTTCATCATTCCATATTTCACACAGAAAATTTGTCCTTCCCAAAACCCTCATTGTCATCTCTCCCAAACCCTAGGGTTAGTCATCTCTTCCAAACCCTAGGCTTTACATCATGTCGTCTACCATCCTACCATCATTCCACTATTGCCGAGTCATTGTCAGAGACTGGAAATGTAGGCCAAAGCGATGATTCACTGTTGCGAAAGTTTACATCGATTCAATCTCACCAACATCCCATCATCTAACCATCGATCGTTCATTACCAATGATTTGAAGACACAACTCTACAACAGTTCACATCAGTCAATGTGTATAATCGACCAAAATAAGGAACAAACGTAAGCACCAATCATTCCCCCTTCTTTTTGGTTCAATCTAAACTCCAAAACAACAATTTGATAAATGTCATTGTTATGTTCCTCCTTTTACATTTGATTACAATGAACTGATGTGAACATTTACATCATGTGGTCATCATTCTTGTTAATTAGTTGTAATATGATATTATTTTGTAATATTGTAGTTATTTTTTCCTCTTTTGTGAATGTTGGCCTTGTTGGTGTTATTGATTGTTAATGGTGGCATGAAATACGGTCAATGTAAATATTCACACTATCCTTTCCCCTTATTTTTGGTTTAATGTGAATTCCAAAACAACTATTTGATATTATCATTGTTGTGTTTCCCCTTTACATTTGATTGTAATGAACTTATGTGAATATTTGCATCATATGGCCATCATTCTTGTTGATTGATTGTAATGTGCTATTATTTCGTAATATTATAGTTATTTTTTCCCCTTTTGTGAATGTTGGCCTTGTTGGTGTTGTTGATTGTTAATAGTGGCATGAAATACTGTCCATGTTGTTAGGTTTTTATTCTTGGTAATCCCGTTTGACAAAACTCCTTTCAGTTGTAATTGTATTCTATCTTTTTATTTCAGTGAGGCTATGAGTTTTAGATACGAATCCAACCCGAATTGTACCTATGCAGAGGATTTTGTGATCTTAATCCTATCATGTTTGCCACTTTGCTAACTATGTTGGGGATTCCACTCGAGCGGCCATTCTTGTGCTCGAGTGGAGATTACGACCTTTTAGAAATTTCACTCGCTTGCAAAAGTACTAGGAATTGTTTTTTTCTGCTTGAGCGTCTATTCATGCGCTCAAGCGTGGACCCTATTTAGTCACGCGTTTTAGTCAGTCCGCTCGAGCAGCTATTCATGCGCTCGAGCGAAGATCACAGATCTATTTTCTATAAATATGCGGTTCTATCAGATTTTAGGGTGATGGTTTCCAAATCTTCTTCTTAAATATTAGGATTTTTATCTGGAGCTTCTTTGCTTGTTTCCTTTGATATTTTTGAGAGATTAATCATGAATTAAGTGGATTATATCAAAGGGTTTGTTTAGTTTGTTTTATTCAAAAAAGAGGGAGTTGCTCTACGGTGGATTCCGGGAAATTTGGGCCTGAAGCTTTGGTAGATTCCGGAGTGGCTCATTGTCGTGATTCGATATTAGCATTATGGATTCAGCGTTGGGCAAGACAATTCTGAGATGAAGACAGGGCTGGAAGAGGCACATAGGGGTCAATTCGATTCGAGCGTGGATTCACTAGGTAATTAAGAGTACACTTATGTAATTCCTTTATGTCTTCTTAGGGGATTATTTTGTGGCTTGCCCGTGGTTTTTTTATCACAATTAAAGGCGCTCCAATTGTGATTTTTTCACGAAAAATTATTGTGTCGATTTGTTTTTTATTGTTTGATTGGGATTATTATTTATAATTTAAAATTGATACATAATCACAAATCAATATCTAAAGGATTTTTAGATTTTTCACATATGAATATTCACACTATCCTTCCCCCCTCTTTGTGGTTCAATGTGAATTCCAAAACAACTATTTGATATTATCGTTCTTGTGTTTCCCCTTTACATTTGATTGCAATGAACTGATGTGAACATTTGAATCATGTGGCCATCATTCTTGTTGATTGGTTGTAATATGCTATTATTTCATAATATTGTAGTTATTTTTTCCCCTTTTGTGAATATTGGCCTTATTAATGTTGAAAGTGGCATGAAATACGATCCATATGAATATTCACGCTATCCTTCCCCTCCCTCCCTCTTTTTGGTTCAATGTGAATTCCAAAATAACTATTTGATATTATCGTTGTTGTGTTTCCCCTTTACATTGATTATAATGAACTTATGTGAACATTTACATCATGTAGCCATCATTCTTGTTGATTGGTTGTAATGTGCTATTATTTCGTAATATTGTAGTTACTTTTTCCCCTTTTGTGAATGTTGGCCTTATTGATGTTGTTGGTTGTTGATTGTTGATACTGACTGGTAATTTGCATATGAATTTGTCTGAAATTACCTAAATTTTGGTTTGTTGATCGTCCGGTCATCCAGCAAGAAAGTGACAGCCGCGATCGACAAGGGTGACAATCGCTGTAGATAAGTGTTACACCGATTGTTCGGGCAATCGATCAGCATGCACAAATTCGAATTTTTGAACAAATGTAAATTCGAGTTACCAATCATCTTTCTATACAAAATTTGACACATTTTAAAAAGAAAAATGATTGGTAACTCAAATTTGAGTATGTCCGAAAGCAAGCCAAATTTCGAATGATTTTAGACAAACTCATATTCAAGCTATCAATCTGTTTAAAAAAAATAGATGCTTGTAATAGTAATCACAATTTCACAAATAAAATAAAGGTTGTGTGACACATATTTTGATTGATGGATGGATGATTGTTATATCACCAAATTACATGGTAAGATGTTGTTTATTTTTAATAATTATTTTCAAATAAAAAAAATTAATTATGAATATCCATGTTGGAAATTATATAAAATAGTGACCCAAAAAATAAAAATTAGTGAGATATAGCATGCATTTCTCTTATGGATGAAAGGATTTTGACATTAACCATTGAAAGATATCAACTCAAATTTAAATATGATATTTTAAATATGGATTTTAAAATTGAATTTAACTTTATCAACATGGGTTATGATGAATTTAAAATAATAATAATAATGTAAAAGTAATTATTTCAAATCATTCATACTAATGCTTATAGTTGTAAAATAATTCTTTTGTTGCTCTACTCTACCTTTCTCTCTATTCCCAGCCTATTTATAATAGTTAACTCCTATATATGAATTATCAACCTCTCTATTACATCCCGGGGCGGAATAAAAAATTCTAGTTAGGGGGCTGAGATGTGTGCATTAAAAAAAAAAAAAAAAAATTACACATGATTAATCAAAGCCAATTTGTTACATAAGTGTTGCAAAAATAATATTACATAAAAAGAAAATTAGATAAATCTATCAAGTCATTTTTTCATTCTTTTCCAAAATTTTGAACTATAAATTAGAACTCAATATATAATTGATTAGATTAAATCTTTTTGTTAGTTGACATAATCTAATAAATAGTAACGTCGTGAGAATTGGAGATAATACATTAAACTCTACATTTTGGCATTATTACACCAACTGCGCTCTTTTAATTGGGCTAAAGGGATCAAAGTTTTAATATTGATGGTGTGAAAATATAAAGATAAACAAGGTATAATTTCTATGCCAGTGTAAAAAAAAATGATAATATTATTTTTCCATCCATATGATTAATGGATTGTTGATTCTTGATGAAAAATAGGCCAAATATTATGTGAATTAAACCTTAGGAAAGCCTAATATAATTAAGTCAAATTTATAGAGTCTATTATATTTTTTAAAATTTTATGGGAGATTAGTGTAACTTACTCTAAATAAAAAGAAGTGACATGTAAATCTTTTACGGATAAAATTGGCTTGATAAAATTGATACTATTAACTAGATTATAAAATAATTGAAAATCATTTCATTAAACATTATAAAATTCTGACAAAGTAAAAATTTAATAAGTGATTTTCATAAAATTGTGAAATCATTTTGAGAGGGTAATTTTTGGTAAAAATTGGGCCGAGCTATGAGATGGGCTTTGTGGCCCAAAGTGCCAAAAACTTGGTGAAAAGGCCGAGGGGGGTGGGGGGCATGACCACCCTCTCTCTATGCTTCCGCCACTAATTACATCTTTTAACATTTGTAAAATACCACATCGATGAATGTGATGAAATTCATAAATAATTGAATTTTTTCAAAAATAGTTTTTAAAAAAATTTATTTTCTTATTTTTTGTATTTTTTTATTTTTATTGAATTTTTTTAATATTTTAAGCAATTTTTGTTACTTTTTAAATAAACTTAACATAAATATGCTTAAAAAATAAAAAATTGTAAAAAAACCTTTTAAAAATTTACTAAATACCAAAAATACAAAAAAAATACGATAATTCAATATATTTTTTATATTTTTATGTATTTATTAATTTTTTAAAATATTTTTTCACAAATTTTTTACTTTTTAAATATATCTAAGTAAGATGCATCTAAAAAAGTAAAAAATTGTTTAAAATTTTTAAAAAATATTCACTAAAAACAAAAAAACACGAAAATTAAAAAGCTCAATTTTCAAAAAAACTTAATCTAGAAAACTCAAACCAAACACACTGAATATTTTCTAGGGTGCTAGTCCTTCGATTTTAGACGGTTCGATTTGTGATTTAAATCCGTTCACATACGTGCAGTTTAGAAAAAATTAAACTCACAATCATCTGTAAAGTAGGTTGCGGTTTGTGCAGATAGGATTCGCAGATGTGTAGGCGATTGCAAACGATTTGCGGATTGAACTTTTTTTT